CGGAGCTCTAGGAAAAACAGGCTCGCTGCTAGGGTTTGTCGGGCAATGCCTCCTGAAATGCCCTGGCTGACCACAACCCAAACATAAGCCTTGGGCGAGCCAACACTCGCCCGGGTGATGCCTACCACACTGTACACACTGCGGGTGGATCCTCGTTCTGATCGAGTTGCTAGCGGCGGCCGACGGAGATGGCCTCGACTTACTCCTCTTAGGCGGCGGCGCACTCGAAGAACCCTTCTCGTACCTCTTTCCCCCGAATCCAAAACTCTTCCCGCTCGGCCCGGTGCTGGTCGCGGGTCTTTCGTCGCTCGATCCTCCTTCTTGGTTGCCTGCAGATCGTCCAAGCTCTTTTCCGTCTTCACAATCAAATCATACGCCGCATTAAAATTTGTCGTCGGGATCAGCGCGGCGTACGGCCTCAAGTCGTAGCTTCTTGACGAACTCATTCAAACGATCCTCCGGAGTGGAGACCAGACTCGTCGCATACTAGGACAAGTAGTCGAACTTCTGTCTCAGTTCAGGCAGTGACATCCCCTCCTGCTTAAGCGCAACGAACTCATCGCGCCTCTCTTCGCGGTACCGGGTGGGGACGTACTCCTTCGTGAAGGCTCGATCAAAGCAATCCCAGGTCCAAGGCTTGGGCGTGTGTGGATCTTGGTCAATGCGCTTCCACCAATCATATGCTCCCTTCCGGAACATCTGTGACGCCAACTCCGAGCGATCAGCATCTGGGACTCTCAAATTCTTGAGTACCCGGTCCATCTGCTCAAGCCAATCCAATGCAATCTGGGGCTCCCCCATCTTGTCTCCTCGAAACTCTTCCGCTCCATTATCCTTCAATGTCTTGAAGGTAACGATGCGCGGCTGCGGCTGTGGTGGTGGCGGTGGCTGGAACATGGGCATAAGCTGCGCCATGTGCTGCATATAATGGGCCATCATGGCCGGGAACATCTGCTCGTAGGCCACCGGCGGTATCGCCAACGGTGGCATCATTGGAGGTGGTACGACTGGCGGTGGTACAGCTGGTGGCTGTCCCGCTGGCTCAGGTTGATTCTGCTGTTGCCCTCCGTCACCCGGAGGCGTGAAACTCGAACCCTCGGTGTTCACCGTGTGCACGCTCACGTGCTCCGGCTCCGGAACGTACTGACCATGGGTCGATTCTTGACTCATTCTAAAATAATAAGGAGATTCCCACGTCAGATCTTAACATATATCAGATAAAGCTATAAATACTTATTACCTTCCCGGGGCAGAGGAGTTACGTGAGATGCGGATGCGGCTGAATTATTCATTGTATTTTTTTTTGAAAGGGTCCAAAGACCGATTTTAAAACCAAATGCTCCGATACCAAAATGTAACACCCCAACCCGCGTAACCCAAACCCGTGAGATAGCGGACCGGTGTGCCACTGGATTGGTATCCGAATTTGCAACAATTTCAAAACAATTTTAAACAAACGTTCTTTCAATACATATAAAAATCCATCGGAGTAATTTAAAATAATGCGGAAGCCTTTTTAAAGTCAAACAACTTGGGATCTTGCCCGAAAACGTAATAAGCATTAAAGTTAATTAAATAAAGCATAATCAACAGATTAAAGAGATAGCCACGCCATCGTACATCTCCTCCTCAATGCCCTCTGGGATCGGCTCTAGGTTCATCTGTCTGATCACCTACGGACAGCAAAAAGGAAATCAACGCTATCCGCTCAGCATTGACGCTGAGTGGCACTCCATTGTAGCACAAGAATAAACATAATAATTCAATGATTAGATCGTGCATATGTTTATCCTTTTAATAAAAATCAATTCAACTTTAAATTCGGTTCTTTAGACGGTTGACCAACAGTCAACTTATTTTCTTTCTTTTCAAAACGATTTAGGTGTTACGGGTTTCTCATTAACTCTTTGACCACCGGTCAAACCAATTTAGACATTCACCAAAGTCAAACCACTTAACATTTAATGCCTATGACGGAGATAGCCTCAATCCGTAATACCGAAGATAGCCTCAATTCGGTGGAGGTAGGATCCCTCGGGTGATAGTCTCAAACCCAAGATCACAGACCCTCGTGCGCACGTCTTAACCTCACTGACCAGGCCCTGCAGCCGCCCGAGCAATGGCCAGTTTCTATGTTCGACATAATAAACCAATTGACCTTATTCACCGATTAGAATTAATTAATTAACTTAACTAATTCATTAAAGTCTTGGGTTTAACCATTCGGTCAAACCTACGTCGACAGAATATCCAGTCAAAGCCTAAGTCAAACGTGACCTAACCCGAGTCAAAGTCAAACCTGTTCAGTCAATTCACAATCCTCAAATATTCAATTCAAATAATCAATTTAATTCAATTAACCAATTTAGCCAAATTATAGCATAAACACATATAACGATCCAACCCATTAAATCTATTCTAAATGCTATTAACTTCATAGTACGGACCTGGATTACGCCGAAATCGAATCGATAGCCCGAACGGGATACAAATCGACGAAATCAAACGAACGGGTCAAATTGAGTCAAAATGCGAAATCGACCAATCAATCCGGCGTGGAGGTTAATCTGCCGGCGATATCAACTCGGGGCAGCGGCTGGATGCGGCGACGGTGACGGACGCCGGTGACAGTGGCGGAGCGGCAACTCGACGGCGATGAGCAGCGACTGGCGGCGCTGCAATTCGTCGACGAGGAAGGACGCCGGCAGTGGAGGCAACGTCCGGCAGAACGACGAGGTGAACCGTCGTCGGCGGCGCTGATGCTGACGGCGGACCTCTGGCGAAGGAAGCAGCGGCGGCGATTGGCTGGGGAAGGGCGACCGGCGCTGGACTCGACGGCGATGATGGCGGCGGACGTCTGGCGAAGACGAAACAGCGGCGATTGGAGACCGTCGTCGGCGGCGCTGACCCTGGCTGTAGGCGACGGGCTTCCGGCGACGGTAAGGCCGCAGTTGGCTGGTGCGGCGAGGGGGCGGAGGTCTGCGATGCCGGCGTGGTCGAACGGTAAGGGTGGCCGGCGGCTGTTGAAGACGAAGAAGAAGAAGAAGAAGAAGAAGAAGAAGAAGAAGAAGAACGAAAGAAGAAGAAGATAAGGTTCGTGTGGTAGATAATAGGTTTAGGTTTATTTAATGGTCCCATTCCTAAAAGGATTGGGCTTCGGACCCAAAATACCTGATTAAATGGTCATAACATGAGCTCCATAACTCCGATTCGCGAGCCGTCTGAACCGACGCGATCACAAAAATATTTCCTACGAGATGACATAAAAGTTGGGCTTAGAATCCAAATTATAATTTTAACCCCTTTTTGGGCCCAATTCGTAATCAATTGCTCTAACAATTTAATTAATTCTTTTGGGCCAGATTTCGGGGCGTTACA